GGTGGCGCTGGAAGGAACCTAAAGGGAGGAGGAGGAAAAGGAAGAGGAGAAGGAGGAGGAGGAGGAGGAGGACGTTAAGTATCGCCTGGTTTCCCCGGTTCTTGCCATCTGTTTACAATCCTGGAAGACCGAGGTGGTACATGCTATGGTACAACGTCCTGGTACCACCGACTATGGTAGCCACGACTTTCCTACTTGGTTAAGACGGGATACACTAAGGAAGGTACCAACTAACCAACGGTTTACAACCTTTCCTTGACTACCTAGCTAAATTCAAACGCTCGATCCACACCAATCCAACATTTACAGTAACACTAACAACTGTAATAAAAGATACATTATTTAACTTCACCAAGAAAACCCTGAAACATCTGTTGTTGTTATTGATATATATATTTTATTGAGTAGAAAATTTCAGTGAACATAGAAAAAGATTTTGTTATTGTTTTACTGTTGTCTCAAGCTTCTATTAATTTTTTCTTTTAAATTATTGGCTTGAAATTTGATCAAAATGTTAAAAAGAAAAAAACAAAACAAAAGAGTTGAACGTTACTTTAGTTACTGTTGCATTGAAACTCACTCCTCATTCTCTGATTCTGTTTAAACCGATACTGCTACACAACTTCTTATTCTTGTTTTTCTATTTAATCTTTTCAACTACTTCTTATTCTACTTCTTCTGGTTACCTCGAACGTAGCTACCGGTTGTTCAAGCCCGACGAGAAGAGACAACGAAGGAACTCCCTACTACTACTACTCCTCCAGGAGGAGGATTCTAAAGGTCGTTGCTTGCTCTAGCAGCATGCTCGATCGATCTTAGGACGATGACAGAGAAAGCCGGGCGTGGTCCGGCACTTCAACTAACCCCCACCGATTTTAGAGTCACCAATTTTTTTTTTTTTATGATAACTTTAGTCGATAAGTTTTAATTATGTCAAAATCAATCGCACATGTATGTAAAGTAATTGATTCAATGTATAATAATAATAATAATAATAGTAATTCATTAGAGTATTAATCAATTCTACACTATAATCCTTAATATATAATAAATTAATATAATAATATAATTAATTAAATATTATAATAATAATAATAAATAAATAAAATAAATAAATATATAATAAATAACTATAATAATATAATTAACTAAATAATAAATAACTGTAATATCTAATAAATTAAATATATTATATATACTTAATATTTTATTTAATTATTATATAATTATATAATAATATAATTATAATTAATATTGAATAAATTATAATTAAATTATAATATATTATTATATATTTAAAACAACCAATCTTCTCTGTTTAATAATAGTAGAAATTTGATATTTTATTTATTTTATTATCGTTTGTTTAATTACTCAGAATGAATTACAAGTTTTTCCTATTTTATATTCTAGATCATTGAACGAAAGATCTTTTTCTTTCGTTTGAAAGATCGTATAAAAAGAGAGAATCGAGTTCCTGGAAATAGAGTTAAGTGTATTCGTATTCTGAACACGTTTCGAAAGATATGCGAATTTTGGTAGCTTGTGGAAAAAAAAAATAGTGTGCAAGACAAAGAGAGAAATAAAGATTGAATAAAACTTTATGTGTGTGTGTGAGAGAGAGAGAGAGAGAGAGAGAAAGGAAGAATGCATAGGATCACGTAGGAACTGGCTAAAAGATTCGTTTGACCTTCGATCTCGTGGAAATCTCAAGTTCTCCATATCGGTGGAACAAATGTTCTTCAGGGGGTTTTCCTTTTTAAGAACAAATTTTCAAACGATCTTAATACATCTTTCTTATCGATTACAACAAAATGATATCGTAAAAAATATAAACGTGTATTCCTATTAAAAAAAAAAAAAAAAAAATATATAATTTTAAGTTTCTTAAAAAGATCATACTTGTGTTGAAAATCTCATTTGTTAAAAAAAAAGCAAAAAAATACTAACAGAAAGAGATAGATATACATATATGTGTTGTAACACTTTGGAAAAATAACAAAATTACATCCTCTTGTATCTTGTTTGTCGCATGACAACTCTTTCAACTATACCACAAGAGCAATGTCTTGAATTTTAAAACGAGAATCGTGATGTACGAGAACACTATCTCTTCTCTCTCTCTCTCTCTCTCTCTCTCTCTCTCTCTCTCTTTCTCTCTTTTACTTTTTTATGTTTTTTTTCTCGCTACCAACGGTGGTCGTTTCTTCCTATACAGATACCTACACACTTATATAATATAAATATCTTTTTTTTAGTTTATTTTTTTAACAAATGGGATTCAACACAAGTACCATTCAACACGTGTCATGTTGTTTGTCCGCAATGGAACCCTAAACTACTAAACCGATTTTAATCAAATTTTGCACACTGTATGCAGTTTCATTCAACTTGAAAGATAGAATAGTTTATATCTCAATTTATAATCGAATTATTTGTTTATTAACAAAGAGTCATGATTATCTCTGTTAGTTCGATAAGATTCTAAGAGATGGTGGTATAAGGTAATTCGTTGACTTAAATACGTGTGTATTGGACTGATTGTGAGCCACAGCAACACGTGGCAGGGCACCCCTAGTATTTTATATATTATTTTATATTTATTTTATATTTTACTTTATACATGTATTATATTACAATTATACTATATTATATTTTATTATAATATTAATAAAATTTAATAAAAAATATATATATATATATATATACATATATATATATATATACCTATAACTTTCTCTGTCTTTCTGTGATACTTTTTATTGTTATTTTATTTTGTATTATCTTTTTTAGTTAATCTCATGATGGAAGAAGGGAAGCTGCCGATAGCGGTGTACCGATCGTGACCGTGCTCGTAAACGTAATGAGTACGAGTTGCTAATGATGCCGCGTTGATAATCATAGACTAGTTCTAAGGGTGTGTTACGAGGTGTGTTCTTGCTTGAGCAATCAATAATCTTTAACACTGAAATCACGACGTTGGTCAATTTGCTTCTGGCCTGATTCAACGACTTGTGTGTATTCTTTCTCACTATTATCTTTTTCTCTCTTTCTCTCTCTCTAGTTTTATCTTCAGTCAGTCAGAAGGGCTCCAGGCGAATGAATCGCTTCCATTTATGCTTTACGATCAACTAAAGAAAGAAAATCGTGAACAGGCTAGCTTACGATTGTGTAACGCCTTCTTCTAACGCCCATCTTCATCTTCTTCTTCATCTTTAATCTTTTTTTTTATTTAGTTTTCTTTTTTCTTTTATTTTTTTTATCGATCTTCTTTCACAAAATCGATTCGTTCTAATCGTTTGAGATCGTTTCTTTGAATAATTCCGCCTTATATTCATCGTATTTTCTCAACTATGTTTCTCTTGTAACACGAGTTAGAGTGAGAAACAGAATGCCAAGGACGTTTACGATGTTAGATAATTCTATGGTTGTATGGGAAGAACGCGTTTGATAAATCTACGAAGTTCACGCGAATACTTTATGAATTCTATAGATAAACACCTTTACTATAGAAAATAGATAAAGAAGATATAAACACACACACACATATTCACAAAAAAAGAGAGAGAGAGAGAGAGAGAGAATCTTATAAAATCTCAAGAAAATCTTATAGAAGATTAATCCACCAGGAAGAAAGTGCACGTTTCCGATAGGCGTTGATTAAAATCCAAGTAAGGTGGTGGTTGTTGTATCAGCGTTGGCGTTAAGATGAGAAAGGGGGTAAAAGGGAAACGAAGGTAGTAGGATAATGCATTTCCTGGAAGTAGAAGGAAAGTCATCGTTTCTTTTGAAAGCGGCTTAAACCTTTACCTTTAAGCATCCTCCCTCAGTGTACTTTGGCAAGCAACTTTGCGAAAAGAGAAAAAAAAACACACTCATACATGTACACATAGAGGAAATCTTACCCCTGTTTCCTTTTTTTTACCAATTTTACCGAAGTCAAGAAGACAACGCGTTCTTTGAATGTCGTTCAAGCGTTGATCCCGTAAACACTACAACAACTTGACATATAGGAGGTAAAGATACGAAGAAGGTAAAACGAGTGAGTGAGTAAGTAAGTAAGTAAGTAAATAAGTGTGTAAGTGAGTGAGTGAGTGAGTGAGTGAGTGAACAAGGCTCGTGCCCTGCCCGGTGACTGAACTCACACCGCATTTTACTTAACGTGCTTGAACACACACGTATATACACATACACCCACGTTTAACAGTGTGTTAAGAAAAGACTTACGGAGGTGGGACTAACACTTACAAAACTATGGATCTTAAGGATGCTGAAAGAACCTAACGTTCTTCGAAGAAACGAGAATCTCATCGGGTATTCGCCATTGCGGGAGAACTCGAATTAAGATGCATCTTCTGTTTAAGTTCAAGAGTGAGAGAGAAACATGTACATATATGTATATGTATGTATGTATGTATGTGGCTGATGACTTCCGTTAAGTTCTTCGCAGAAGAGTAACATTCGTTCGTATCGACGAATACAAAGAGGAAACTCCTTCTCCACCTCCTCCTACTCCTCCTCCTCCTCATCATCATCATTCTCATCCTCCTTTTCCATCTTTTCTTCTTGTTCCTCTTAAAGTCTCTTCATCGTTTTTCGAAGCGATCGAGATACGAGTGAAACAGTTTGGTGCATGAAAGAATAAACTGCTCGAATATACATTCACACACACATATATATTTATATACAGGTATACAGAAAGCGAGATTCGCAACCCGTTAGACTCTTCTTCGTATATTGTATATATATATGTTATATTCGCTTGAAAAACACTCAAAGGTCCACTCTATATAGTAAACTAAAGAAAAAAGTTGTGCTTTTGAATAAACCAAAGTAAGAGTCCACATTTGACTTATTGTCAATTTAAAGATTTGACTACTTTTGTGTGTGTATTGAATAATAAACGAAATTTTTGTATTTTATTCATAGATCGGTAAAGTTGTATCACATTATGCTTGTTAATATTTTTAATTAATAATATTTTATTTTTCATTACGTACCTTGTCTTCGCAAGTCTTGTGACAGATGTATTTGCATACTGAAAATAAAAAACATGAATTTTGTTTTTTTTTTTTTATTTAAATTATATAACAAAATTAGATTAATTTTATATAGATAATGTATAAGTGTTTTTTTTTTCTTCTAATTATTATTTATGGTGATTTATATATTTAACTCTTTGAGTGCTGAATATTTTTAACTAAAGTGTAATTAACCAAATTCTAATAATTAATTATATTCAATAATTAAAGTTTTTTTTTCTTAATATAATTTCATTAATTAATATAAACATTACATTATTTTACATTAATATTAACAAACACCTAGACAACTATGGTAATTTTTACCAAACGCATATTTGCGTTTGTACCACTCTAAGGGTTAAAGAAAAAATAAAGAAAAAAAAAAGGAGATTAATTATTTCAAATTTGTTTCATATTCGCGCCAATTGGAAATTTTTACCAACGATCGATAAGAAATAAAAGGAAGTAAATACTATCGACTACAAAATATCGTTTCTATTTTACCAAGAATCTTACAGGTTTCAACCTTATCGACTTACCTCTGCAACAAGACGCTTGTTTGATCACCGCCTGATGGCACAAATGACATGGTCTGGGTTTGCGCAGTTGTTTCGTACGAAACACGTGACACTGAGGTTCAAAGTCACTCTGAAAATATATAAAAAGAAATAATTAATACGAGACAAACTTTTTTTTACTGGGGATAAACTAGGGGGAAAAAAAAAACAAGTTTTAAAAAGAAACTTTACAAACAAAATGTAATATAATCACAATGACAACTCAAAAAAGTCATCTCTTTTGCCATTTATTTTCCCAAGGCCGCTGCACTTTTCATTCGCGGGTGGATTCGTTTGAATTTCAACTCAATGACAAATTAATAAATGGAACGTCACCTTTTGACCCTCTTTTCATTTTTATTTTATTTTTATTATTTAAAAACAAAAAAAACATTCAAAAACATCTCATATCTTTTAATAAATCTAACGTACATGTACATGTGGTTAGACTTACTCGTTGAAAGATGATAGTTACACGTAGTATGCAATGAGAAACTGCAAAAGCAATTTGTCATCTTGTTATTATCGTGTTAACTTCAACGATAAGAAACACAAGAAAGGAATTAGGTATTTTTTCTCTTTTTTTTTTTTACTTGTTTTTTGCATGATGCGAATATAACAGTCAACCTGTTAACAACAACAAGTTGGAATTGAACGATCAGCAATAACGCGGCATCGGGAAAAGGTAGTTCGGAAAGTTATGTGCTAGCAAGGCAAATGCCTGAAGCATATACCATAATCCCATCCCATCCCATCCCATCCCATCCCATGAACCATGATGCACGGCTTCCAATTATAGTCACGCAAAGCTTCTTCTATCTTTCATGAGAAGTGAATACCCTATTGCTTTCACCCACATTCAATGGCATACATATATACCAAATTCCCATGGAAACAATTTAAAACACGTGACAACTGTCAATCAAATTTCTTTTGTTGACCCATTTGACGGATATATTCCAATTAAACATATGGAGGTGTATCAACACAAGGATTAGATCTAATATTCATTTAAATGCATGTATAATAATGAAATATTTATTGTTTTAATATTCGATGAGATTTAAATGTATTATTTTATGTTTTATTATAGAATATTTTTATAGAATATTTAATTATTCGTATAATAAATATTCTATATAAATATTTAATAAATATTATATTCTAAATATTATATATATATATATATTATAAATTATATACATATATATGTATTTTATATTATAAAATAAAATTATAAATTAAAATTTATATTACAAAAATTTTATATATTAAAAAATAAAATAAAATTTAAATTAAATTACAAAAAAATTTATATATTAAAAAATAAAATAAAATTAAAATTAAATTACAAAAAAATTTATATATTAACAAATAAAATACAATTCAAATTAAATTAACAAAATTTTATACTAAAAAATAAAATAAAATTAAAATTTATATTACGAAAATTTTATATTAAAAAATAAAAAATATATATTTAATATTATTACAATTATTTTATAAATATTTAAAATTGGTATATAAAAAAATAAATATAATAATTATATATATTAATTATATAAAAATAATAATAATGATAGAGGATAGAAAAACTATTAAAACTCGATTGTCTTCATTTATCTTTTGATAAATGTACCAACTCGAGTTACTAATTAAATATCTAAGAGAACGATGCTATCATTAATATATATCTTAATCATAAGCTTTGTCGGAACACTTCCCCTGTAATTACTACGTCACGATCTCAAGAGAATAACGAGAACGGAAAGAAGGTAAGTTTCAGGTGCGACTATACATCGTGCTCAAACATATATATATATATATATATATAGTATATATAAACACACTCATTCGAACAAATATATATACCATATATATATATATTTTAAAATCCCGTCCTCTTTTCGTTGATCAGTAAACCGTAACGTTACATACGAAACGCATTCCGCATTTTCTTGATCCTTTTTTTCCTCTGTTCGTATCCCTTTCGTTTCTTCACTAACGTAAATGGCAATAAATCGTTATTACCCTGACATGGTGGATTACAACTAAAAAAAAAAAAAATAAAAAAATACAAAAAACTATAACACAACGACGAAATTATGCAAGGACATTTTTTAAATAGGATATTTTCGAACATATAAAAAGTACAATTCGTTGCAAATTATTTCACCGTTTAAAAGACTTTCCATTTATCTTACTAATCCTCGTAGCTAATCGACAATATATATATATATATATATATA